GACTGGCCGTGCCCATGGTTCTTGCTCACTGCCTCAGGTTTTCTCTTGTGTGCTGGGGACCACCAGCTGCTGTGTGCTGGAGAAACGGGGGTAAAACCAGTCCTCAGTGGGAACGGGGAGGGAGACGTAGCAGAAGGGAGGAGGAGGAGGAGTAACTTCCTCCACTGCTGCCCCTCTGCTCCCCAGCCAGGAGCCGGGCTGCTGCCTGGGGGTTCAGGGTGGGCATGGCGGCTGCCCAGGGAAGAGGGGCTCAAAGGTGTAGAAACGGGCTCTCATTTCCCTCAGGAGCAGCACGCCTTCTGAGCGAGGGGAAGGGTTGCTCTTTGGTGGAGGCGATGCTCCGGGGCCGCTGCCCTCCCTCTGCCTCACCGTCTCTCTTCCCTTGCAGGACAGGTGCCTGAGGAGGAGGCAGGGCAGAACGGGCAGAGCCGCGGCAAAGGGCTGCCCAAGGCCGTGTGCATGAACGGGACGGAGACGGGACAGCTGAGCACCAAATCGAAGGCAGAACGGCGGGCGAGCGCCTCTTCCAACCCCTCCCGCAAGGCCTGCTCTGCCAGCAGCAAGATCCGCAAGCTCTCCACCTGCAAGCAGCAGTGAGGCGGGAGCCCCCGCGTTCTGCACAGGTACGGGCAGCCCGGTCCCCGTGGGGGGTGGCCGCCCTGGGTGACTGCCCGGGGAAACGGGGGGGACCTCTGAGCCTGCCCCAACCGTGGGCAGCAGGAGGGAGGTAGAAAAGGGTGTTTTGTAGTCGCAGGTGCGGAGAGGGGAGAGGTCTGCGTCCTGAGCAGCCCTCTGTAAATGTCCCTGGCATCCAGAGCCAGGATCCCCTGCAGTGTTGGGGGGTGCAGAGCCCAGTGGGGACCCCCGTGTGCTCCCTGTGCCCTGCTCTGCTGCTTGCCTGGCTCTGCTCTACCCCCTCCTTGCAAGCTACTGCCAAGTCAGGCGAGAGCTGCTGTCGTAATTCTTTCTCCCCTCCTGGGCTGCAGTCAGGCTGTGTTGTGACAACCCCTTTCCCTGGCACCAGAGTCCCCCTGCTTTTTCCCCTGCTTTGCTCCCCCCAACTCGGGGCACCACAAAGCCTCCGGTGTGCGGAGGAGCTGGGCTGCAGCGGGATGCTGAGCACCGGGATGTTTCCAGAGGTGTCCCTGAGAGAGACCCCCATGGGACCTCCCCCCTGCTCTGGGAGGTGGCCGTGTCACCCATGGCTGGGCCACTGCCGTGCCCAAGCCCCTTCCTCTCCTTGGGAAAGCTGAGCGCCCTCCCTGCTTCCCCCTTCTCCTTCCGGCTCTTTCCTCGGCTCCGCAGCCCTGTCCCCTTCTTCCCACCCCTCATTCATAAGTGAGCCAGCAATGACTCATGTTCAGCGCTCATCCACCCCCGGCCTCACGCTTGCGCTCGTCACCGGCGCTCTGTGGGGCTGAGGCTCTGTTATCTGTTTGGATCACGACGCGCTCATCCCGGCCTCACGCTTGCGCTCGTCACCGGCGCTCTGTGGGGCTGAGGCTCTGTTATCTGTTTGGATCACGACCAGCTTTGTGGTGTGAAAAAAGCCAGAAATAAAAGCCTGTTCCTCCCCCTGCAGCTGTCAGACCCGCGCGCTCAGCCCCTGTGGCAGCTTTCATCTTTAATTCATAGCTGGGAGTGAGTCACCTGCATGGGGAGTTACTGTATCGGCAAGCAAATGCCTCGGATCTGGGTCTCCCCGGGGATCTGCTGCTGCTCTCGCCCCTTCCCGCTCGGGTACCCGGCCTGGGGGCTCCGCGGCAGCTGCCCAGCGGTTTCGGGAAGGAGAAGGTCCGTGCTGGCTGCTGGAGCCTGGTTCGGTTGCTGCCTCTGCTCTCCTCCCGCACGCATTGCGGGGACGGCCGCGTTGGAAGTCGCCCG